CCCCTTGCCTAGGGAATAGCGCCACCCGCAGTGGGCTTGGTCCTCCCATATCAGTCAACAATCAAGATAATCCCCACAGATGTACCCATAAGCCAACATGATCTAAACAATTCCTCAATTAGGAGTGTTTCTCTAGTTAGTGTCAAGTAGGCAGTTAAAACTAACCATCACATCCATTTTTTAACAGAAGTTTTGGGGATTGAATTCATGTTCTCATACTTGCACTTCAAGTACTTTCTGGGCTGAACCTTCCCCCTCTGAGCATTTTACTTTGGCTCTTCAATTCCATACATATTTTCAAGAAACCTTCTGTAATCCGTTCCTGACTTTCTGGGGGTTATTAATCCATCCTTGCCACAGCATGCACCAATCTGAATTGAAATTATCTTATGAGCAGGATCTGCTATGACTTGCTCACACCAAACAGCATTATGACTATAAGAATAATTAATGGGCAGACATTTCTTTTCACAGACTATAAAATGTTGCAGTTTTTGACAAATCATATAAATAAAAATAATGGTGTTGGAAGGAAAGCTTATAATTTTATGGCTACATAATGTAATTAATAAAGATAAATAAACTACTATAAATTAGCTTCATAGATTTGTACTATAATGGAAAATGTCTTAGATGTCTAAAGAATGCATATGTAAGGGCTACATTCTCTACAGTCCACTAAACAAAACACAATTACATCAAATATAGAAAAGAGAAACACATAAAATTACGAGAGATATGGCATAAGTGATTTTTTTTAAAGAAGAGGATCTTATGTTGCCGAGATTGACCTCAAAGTAGCTATGTAGCCAAGGATGGCCTTGATCTTCTGATCCACTTGACTTCGCCTCCCCAGTACTGGTGCTATGGGCACAGGCCACCACCCACGATTTCTGTAATGCTGGGACAGAGCCCAGGGCTTTGTGGATGCTAAATGAGGACTCTACCAACTGTGCCGCATCCACAGCCGCTATGGTATAGTCAGTCTTGAGAGAAATTTTAAAATGTGGGTCTACTGTGCATAATTACAAGCTAAAAATAATGAGAAGCTTGTAGATCGTTCTCTAAAAATAGTATAAAGTTCTAAAAGCTACCTCAAGAAAACTATGAAAGCTGAATTGATGGGTCATCATGGGAGAAATACCTGTTGGTGCCATGTTCCTGTTTTATAGTGATTTCTTTCAAAACTTCAAGAGACACCGTATCCTGACAATATAGATGACATATGGGAAGTTGTTCAACTAGGTTTTTTCAGTGTTGGTACCCTTTGTTAGGCAGTCATGTTGGAAGGAGGAGGGCCTACCTGAGCTTGAGGCTGAAGATGTTTCAGTCCATGGTCTCCTGAGTCTGCCAACATGAGCTTGAGATAAGGTTGGAGAGTAGAAGATGAGAATCACTCACCATGTGATGGCCAGGAGAGGGAGTGAGAAAAGAGAGGGACACAGAGTCAGAGAGAAACAAAAGTAAAGACAGACACAGAGAAAACAAGAAACAGAGCCGGAGTTGGGAAGACAGGAAGGGGGACGGGAGGGCTGGAGGGAGGGGGAGCACAGATACTGAAAGAAAAAGAAACAGAAAGACAGAGACACACAGAGAAGAGTCTCAGGTCTTGAGTGACACACTCCCAGTGACCCACCAAGCAGGACCCACCTCCTAGTGGTCCATTCAGCTATAGATTCATTAGTGGATCAATCCACTGATAAAGTGAGCACCTTCATGACCCAGTCTGTTCTCAGTATCACCGGCAGCTAGGGACCAAGTCTTCTACCATTTTACCTACCATAAAGGGACATTTGATCTACAAGCCACAGTATATTTTGTTTGTTGTTTTTCTAGACAGAGTTCCTTTCTGTAGCCCTGGCTGTCCTAGACTCACAGAGATCCTCCTGCCTCTGCCTCCCCAGTACTGGGACTAAAGTCATGTACCACCACGATTCAGCTTGCCATATTATATTCTAATGATTTATAAGACTCAAACAGTATAACAGTGGAGGCAGGAAACCTGTATCTTTTTTCCCTTCCCCTAGCTTCTAAATAATCTTTTTTGCCTAGTTTCTGAATGGCAGGAAGCTCTTAAAGTGGTATAATTTTCTTCCAGGCAGCACTCCACTTCTTAAATCGGTCTTCCGAGAAGTAGTGACTCATTCCCGCCCCCCAAAGAATCTATTTGATGTCAACCCTATTCATCTCTGAGCATGGCAAAGAATCTGTTATGACTTTACCATGTTGCCCTGATAAAACACTCTGACCCAAAGCAGCTTGGGTAGGAAAGGGTTTATCTGGCTTAATACTTCCTGGTCTCCGTTGCTCATTGAGGAGTCAGAAGAGGAACTCATGGAGGAGTTCTGCCTTCTGTCTTGCTTACACAGGCTCATGCTCAGCTCACTTTCTTATGTAGCCCAGGCCACCTATCCATGGAATTGTATCACCCCAGTGGTCTGTACACACACACACACACACACACACACACACACACACACACACACACACCATCAATTAACAATCAAGACTATCTCCCACAGATGTACCCACAGGCCCATCTGATCAGGACTATCCCTCCATTGAGACTCCCCTCTCAGGTCCTCCAGGCTGTGTCAAGTTGGCAGTTAAACCTAACTAGGGGGGCTGGAGAGATGGCTCAGCGGTTAAGAGCACTGACTGTTCTTCCAGAGGTCCTGAGTCCAATTCCCAGCAACCACATGGTGGCTCACAACCACCTGGAATGAGATCTGGTGCCCTCTGCTAGCATACAGGCATAAGACAGTATACACAATAAATAAATAAAATATTAAAAAAAAACCTAACTAGGACAGGATCCCCATTTTTGCTCCAGAATTATTCTCCTCTGCATTCTTTGTGCCTCATTCATGCACATGGGCTACGCTCTCCTCGCTTACCCAATGCAAAGGGACATGGTGCCCAGCTCTGTGGCATGTTCACTCTCAGGGCCACTAAACTACAGTGCAGAAAACACATCCAATATCCAAATGCCCACCTGCTGCTCTGACTCATACAGGGCTTTCAACTACAATCATCTCGTTTTCCCAACAAGTTTCAGTAGCTCAATTTAATTTCCTAGAACTAGGTGCCTACTTCTCAAATGCTTGAAAAGACAGGAAGGAGAAAATAATGTGTAGAACTTGGCTTTCAGTGCTGTGTGGGGACTCATTTCAGCCATGGGTTTCCGTGCTCCCCCTTGGTGTGATGGTTAACTAATCTTGACTGTCAATTCGGTAGGATCTAGAATCACGAAGGACACAGGCCTCTGGGGCATGTCTGTGAGGAAGTTTCCAGATTAGGTTACCTGATGGAGATAAATCCACCTTACATCCCACTGGCTGGGGTCCTGGACTGAATACAAAGGAGAAAGTGAGCTGAGCACCAGCATCCATCTCTCTGATTCCCATGCAATATGACCAGCTGCCTCAAGTTCCTGCCACCATGCCTTCCCCCACCTTGGTGGATTGTATCATTTTGAACTGTGAGCTCAAGTAAACCAGAGTTTCCTTACCTTGCTTGGTCGGGTGTTTTGGCACTGAGAAAAAAAAATAAATCCATTATATTATGCCATCTTCCATCACTGTGGTAAAATCCCTTCTGCAGAAGAGACATTGATACAGGCCCTGGTTTTGGGAAGGCAGGAGCATGGTACTGCCTCTCACTTGCCCTTAATGAAGGAAGATACCATCACAATGACAGGGATACACGCAGGAGAGATCACATGGTAAGACAGGAAATCAGAAAATGACTCCGGGTCAGGCTTTTACAACAATTATACTTGCGGGGCCGGAGATATGGCTCAATGTTGTTAAAGCACTTTTCCATGCAGCCATGACAGTCAGAGTTCAGAGCCTTAGAACACAGGGAACTGCTCAGTTGGCATGGTGACACACCTGTAACTCTGACTTGGGGATGTGGAGTCTGAGTTTGGTTAGGAGATGCTGCTCCAATGAGCTAGGTGGAAAAGTAATGGAGAATGATTCACACATCAACATTGGGCCGCCACATGCGTGTGGACCCATGTATATAGGCATGTGCACACACATACAAGAACTCACATGTGTGAATCCATGCACATGTGAGTGCACACACACATAAGGGGAAAAATAAACTAAGACCTATTTTGAAACTGAGGCACCCTTTGTAGCAACATCTTCAGTGACATAACCAGCCACCAGGTCCCATCTCTTCTTTTAAAAAGTGTTTTTTTTTATTATCTGTGTACGTATGTGGTCCTGAATATATGTATATGCACCATGAGTGTGTGTGTGCTCTCAGAGATCAGAAGAGGAAGTCTGATGCCCTTTGGCTGGTTAGAGGCAGTTGTGAGCTGCCCAACATAGATGTTGGGACCCAAACTCAGGTCCTCTGGACAAACAAAAAGTGTTCTTCACCATAGAGCAATCTCTGTTGCCCCGTGGCCCAATTCTTAAAGTTTCCCCCTACCTCATCATCATAATACTGAGCACAAGGCTCCCAACACAGTAACTCTGTTGGAGAGATGGTAGGGAGGGAAACCACATTCAGACCACAACAGACATGTATAAGTTCACACCTCCAAGCAAAAATCGGAATTGCTGGTTCCTTCGGAAATGATGAAGAAATTGAAACATATGTGTCGTCCAAAGTGGAAACACAAGATGGGAATGACTGGTTTCTTGGAAGGCGATAGAATGTTAGAAACATATGCGCTGTCTGAAGTATGGCACCATAGTACAGTATATAGGACGTGGAGGGTTGACAGCAGATGGCTGGTTGGTGATCAATCCAACTTGCAAGTGGCTTTTCCTCTTTGTCTCCTAAATCAAGGAGGTTATATTTCACTCAGCTCATCCCCAATAAGACCATGCATATGGTCGGAGCCGAGCAGGACTGGAAAAACTGCTCATCTGGTATCCTGAAACTCACTTTCTTAGGGAGCTTTCCGGCATGCTGACCGCATCCGAGCTGAGTTTGCACCCCTGTTTTCACAGCCTTCTTCCTGTTCTTTGTCTCCGCAGTTTGACATGCAGAGAGTCACCCTGGAAGAGCTGAAACACATCCTGTACCACGCCTTCCGGGATCACCTAACGATGAAGGACATTGAGAACATCATCATCAATGAGGAGGAGAGTCTGAACGAGACCTCGGGGAACTGCCAGACGGAGTTTGAGGGAGGTGGGTGCATCTGCCTGGGTGACTCCCCAGGGCCTCCACATGCCCTATAGTTACCAGTCTTCAGGACAAGAAGCAGACTGTCCCAAAGCTAAGAAATCAGGGCCAAAGCCGGGCGTTGGTGGCACACGCCTTTAATCCCAGCACTCGGGAGGCAGAGGCAGGCGGATCTCTGTGAGTTCGAGACCAGCCTGGACTACCAAGCGAGTTCCACGACAGCCTCCAAAGCCACAGAGAAACCCTGTCTCGAAAAACCAAAAAAAAAAAAAAAAAAAAAAAAAAAGAAATCAGGGCCAAGTTAACAGGTCAGCTTAGGGACGATACACTGGTTTAATTCTGCCTTATGTTTTTGGTAGCACTCCCTCCTCCTTTCATTTTTTGTGTGCAGAAGACTGGGAATGGAATACAAATGCCTGCTCCTGTGGAAAGCAGAAGTCAATGCCAGGCATCTTCCTCTAAGAGTTCTTTTTCGTGAGACAGGGCCCCTCGCTGAACCTGGAGCTCACTCTGACTTGGGGATGTGGAGTCTGAGTTTGGTTAGGAGATGCTGCTCCAATGAGCTAGGTGGAAAAGCAATGGAGAATGATTCGTTGCGGTTGGCTGGCCAGTGAGTTCCCAGAACCCACCTCTCTTTGCCTTCCCAATGTTGGAGTTATAGACCTAAAGAGCTACGTCAGCTTTTATGTGACTGCTAGGGATCAAAACTCAGGTCCTCGTGCTTATATAGCAGGTACCTTACGCTGACACAGAGCCGTCGCCCTAACCCTCCTCCTCCTCCTCCTCCTCCTCTTCCTTTCCCCTCCTTCTTTCCTCCCTCCTCCCCTCCTTTCTTCTTCTACTCCTTCTGTTCCTCTTCCTCTTTCTCCTCCTCCTCCGCTTTGTTGGATTTTGTTGTTGCTGTGCTGCTATTTGGCATTCTTATGAGATATAGCCCTCATATGTAGCCTAGGCTATACTTAAACTCATCTGAACTCAAGATCTTCCTGCTTCAATCTCTAGAGTTTTCAGATTATAGCACACACAAACCATATAGGGCTAAAACTTCCAGTTTCAGAAGATCTTGTATGGACCTCGTCCTTCCTGGGATCATTCTGAGTCTGGGGCTGGCTGTGTGGCTTTGTGGCGGCCGTTTGTCTTTGCTCATTGGAGGCTAGCTGCCTCAGGGATGATGGAAGGAGCCCGCTGAATCTGTCAGCAGACTTGGACCAAGTTCATTGGCTAATTGAATGACCTTGGGCGAGCTGTGTAACTCCTCTGTGTTCCCTCATCTACATATGTCAGGATAATTACATCTGCTTCACAGAATCCCTGGGAAAGGATAAGCTCTGGGCTCCTCAGATGCATTGACCAGAAAGAACTCAGGGACGGAGCCCTTTCAGCATCCTAACCAAAGGGCTAACGGAAGGAGCGAGTCATCTGAACTCCAAGGAGAGACACAGGAAGGATCAATTTTTCTTGGGCTCATGGAAAAAAATATAGGGGAAAAAAAAGCTTTTCCCCTAGTCACTGAAGAGTTCCTGGGAAGCTAAATAATTCTGTCCCTCTTCCAAGCTTTGAAAATCAACTGTTTGGGGGGCTGGAGGGGAGGCTCGGTAGCCAAGAGCATATACGGTTCTCGCAAGGGACCCAAGTTTGGATCCCAACACAACCACCTGTACCTCCAACTCCAGTGGATCCAGTGCCCTCCTGTGGACTTTAAGGTCACCTGCACTCACATCACGCATGAGCAGGCACGCGCGTGCGCGCACACACACACACACACACACACACACACACACACACTTGACTAAAAAAATTAGAAGAAAACAAATGTTCTAATGAATACAGAGAAATTGGTATATTGTAATTACGTTAAGATATCATAGCCATTAGCAGATTTTTTTAAAACATACTCAGTGCTGAGACTTCTTGGAGGCTAGTTAATTAATTAATATTATTTTTTGCAATACTGAGGTGGGGGGTGAACATGAGGTCCTGTGTATGCTAGGAAAGTGCTTTACCACTAAGATACACGTTCTGAGCCCTCTTTTCCTGTTGTTTAACGTTAATTTATTTATTGTGTGTGTGGGGGTGTGGATGGGTGGGGGCTGGGTGGGTGCACACTCGGAGTCGGAGGACAGCTTATGCGAGTTAGTGCTGCCCCTTCTACCACGTGAGACTTGGGGATGCAACTGAGGTTGTCAGCCTTGGTGGCAAGCACCTTCACCCACTGAGACATCTCTCTGACCTGTGCCTTTACTTTTTGAGACAGGGTCTTGTTAAGCTCCCCGGGGTGGCATGGTGTTCACTCTAGTTCAGAGCTGCCTTGAACTTAGGATCTGCCTGCCTCCCCTTCCCTAGCAGCAGCTGGTATTTCCATTTGTACTACTAGACTGAGTTTGTTTCCTTTATTTTTTTTGAAAGTGTATGTATGTGGTTATGCATATATGTGTATGCATATATGTGTGTAAGTGTGTGTGTGTCTATACATATGAAACTGTGGAGCCAGAGGACAACCTTGGCTATTGTTCTAATAGAATCCACCTTAGTTTTTGAGACAGAATCTTTTATATTCACATGGAACTTACCAGTTCAGCCAGCTGAGTCACAGGCATCCTCCTGTCTCTGCCTCCCCAGTGCTGGCATTACAAGAATATGTCATAATAGTCAACTTTATTTTTTTAATGTAGATTATTTATTTGTTTATAGTTAGAGGTTCTCACTATGTAGTCCAGAGTTGGATCTCATTATATAGACCAGGCTGGCCTTGAATTCATAGTGATCTACCTCCTGAGTACTGGGATTAAGGGGAACGCCACCACCATCCCCAGCTCTCTCTCTCTCTCTCTGTGTGTGTGTGTGTGTGTGTGTGTGTGTGTGAGTGTGTGAGTGTGCTATCTATGTTCAGGTACCAGTGGAGGCCAGAAGAGGCCATCAGAACTGGATCCCGTGGAGTTAAAGCTACAGATGGTTGTGAGCTGCCCAATGTGGGTGTTGGGAACCGAACTTAGGTCCTCTGCAGGAGGAGCAAGTGCTGTTAATTGTTGAGCCATATCTCCAGGACTTGCTTTCTTGCCTCTACACACCCAACAAGACAAGGCCCTCAGTGGTCAAACTGTTATATATAATGAGAATGGTACAGAGTCACCTGGCTGGGTCACCTCAGCTGCTGCATTATAGGGTGTCATGGCAAGGAGCCTGCTCTGGGGGGGAAATGGATGGATGGAAATTTCCATATGCCTACCAATTGCTGGCTACCTAGCTACATGTTGGACTGAAGTCTCAGCACAGTTCTGAAATAAGTGTCATTTTACCCTCGTGGTCATAGATGAGGTAACTGAGGAGTTCAGCAAGGCAAAGCCTCTTGTCTAAAGGCAACAGTGGTTAAGGACTTGAACCTTCATCTACTGGGTAATGTGTTTCTCTCTCTCCCTCTTCCCTCTTTCTCTCTGTCTCTGTCTCTCTCTCTGTCTCTCTGTCTCTCTGTCTCTCTCTCTCAGTGTGTGTGTGTGTGTGTGTGTGTGTGTGTGTGTGTATGTGTGTGTGTTCATGTGGAGAGGAGTTGTGCATGCACATGTGTGTTTGTGGAGGCCAGATATTGACATCATGTGACTACCCACCTTATTTTTTTGAGTCAGAGCCTCTTGCTGAAACTCAAGTCTACCCTGGCTGGCTAGGAAGCCCCAGAGATCCGGCTGTGCCTCTCCTTAGCACTGGGATGACAGATGTGTGCCACCGTGCTTGGCTTTCTAGATGGGTCTTAGGGGATCTTAATTCAGGTCTCCATGCTTGCTAAGCATGTACTTTTCTCACTAAGCCATCTCCCCGGTCCCCTGGTTTCTTCATTTGTCACTATAGGTCCTTTGCTGGAGCCATTTCAAAATCTCCCGATGAAGTAGCATTCCACTGTCCTTTTCCATTCTCTGTCTCACTGCTGGTGAGATCACATCCTATCTGGAAGTCAAGTAGAAAAGAACTGTGAGACTGTGGGATCCTCTCAAGACAGGGTCCCCACACACTGATTTCTCTCATTGGAGTCCTGCCTTTCTGAATTTCCCTGGACATTCTGAGGAAGGGCACAGGAGGGAGAAGTAGAACAAAAATCACCACCCGGGTGTGATGGTTAGCTTTTCTAATATTTTGGTTTCTTTTATCTCCAATTATGTGTGTATCTATGTGCATTTGTACACCTAAGTATAGTGCTTTAGGAGGCCAGAAGAGGGTATCTGGTCCTCTGGAGTTGCAGGCAGATGCCCGATGTGGGTGCTGGGAACCAAACTGTAGTTCTTAAGAGAAGTACATGTTTTTAAACTGCTGCGCCATCTCTCTAATGCCCGATGGTTAGTTTTTAATTGTCAACCTACAGTGCCCTCAGAGGAGATCCTCAATGCAGAATTGTCTAGGTCGAGTTGTCTGCTGGGGGATTGTCTTGATTAAGCCAATTGACATGAGAAGACCCAGCCTCTGTGGGCAGCATCGCTCCTGGGGCATGAGCAGAGGGGAGAGCCAGCTGAGAAAAAGCAAGCAAGGATCCATGCACTTCTCTCTCTGCTCTCCATTGTGGATTTGATGCTTCAGGTCCCTGCCTCGACGTCCTCACAGCGCTGGCCCGTTACATGGGATTGTGAGCCAAAGCAAACCCCTTCATCGCTAAGCTGCTTTTTCTTGCAGGCTCCTGTCACAGCAGCAGAGATGAAACTAGGACACTGGGAAATAAGTAGTTTCTGGGAAAGAGATGGCTGAACTCAGGCCTCTGCGCCTGCTGAGCCTCCATCTGCTTAGAGAGGAGCAAAGGTCAAGGAAGGGACATCTCTGGAGCCCTGGGACACAGCTTTGTCTCGTGATAATGGCTCGAATGTGAACGTCACATAGGCTCACAATTTTATTACCATCATTTTGTTTTGTTTTTTGAGACAGAGTTTCTCTGTGCAACCTTGGCTGTTCTGGAACTTGCTTTGTAGACCAGGTTGGCCTCAAACTCACAGAGATCCTTCCTCTGCCTCCTGAGTGCTGGGGTTAAAGGT